TAGTGACTGGACAGTAGAGGCAAGTGTAGATCTAGTTGTAACTAAATGTATTTATTTTTTTAAATCTCAGCTCTCAGGGCTTCTCTAACATAGATATAATACCATTGTTTCCATTTTCATTTCCTCTTCCTCTCGGTAAACAAACTTCATGAGTAACAGTTCTTCAGTCTTTCAAAAAATGTAACCAAATCTTTGTGACAGCATTTTACATTTTTCAGTATTCATTCTTAGTTATGCTCATGCTTGTCTGTGTTGTAAACTTTATTTAGGTTGAACATGCTATGAAGAGGGCAGACAAAGGAATTTGGAAAAGGAGTTCCCTGTGTGCTTTGTTTCAAATAATGGTGCCTTATTAGTAATTGCAGATTGATGCCACCAATTTATTATTCCATACCCAACTGGGAAGTCAATAAATGTATGGCTTTTCTATATCACATAGAACCCTATGGGATTGAAGCTTTCTACACCAAGATCATTATTTGATTTTGTTATATGAGGTGATTGTTAGAGCTTCTGTAGATCTAAAGTCATGATCACCAAGATAACTGTTTGAATTTGTTAAATATTTATTGGTTGTGTTTCCCCAGCAATGATATGACAGTGACTACTTGATTTCTAAATTCTTTGCAACCATTTTCCGAATCAGTATAAATTCAACAAAGTAGTAGCTATATGCCCTGACAAAATGTGAAGTGGAAAAAGTACAATTATCCAGCCAAAGCTAACGTTATCTGGGGAGATTTTCTACCTTTATTAAATCAGTTTTATCAATTGGATATTTTCAAAATCTTTATGCAGTATGGACCCCAGATGAGTGACAACATTTATACAAATGACAGGGGTAACTCATACCATTTAAAATGAGCTGTTTTTCAGTACATAATCATCAGATACGTCTTGGTAAAATGTGGTTAGAGCTGTTATGTCAGCTTTCTCACTTACTTCAAAAGGTGTGATATGTTCTCCATCTGTTATATGATCCCAAGCTAAATAGCTACACTTAAGATGTGTTCTTACTTAGGACCGTGCTTTTATGAAGGTGTGCCGTAAAAGCATCCAGGTGCAGGCAACCTGCCCAAATGGTTCCCATTAAATCGGCTTGGGGGTGATGATGTTTAAAATGTCATAACATTTCTCAGAGCAGCTAATTGCCTTAAATTCCAAAATAACTGTATATTTCATACTGTGCACCCGGATGCCTTGGAATTGAAGCAAACATAAAATCTTATCAGCATGTAGACTATAAAATGGTGTGTATGTTCAGAAAACCAAATAGGTAAATTGATTTCCTTTATAAGCAATCAAAAATATAGGTGGACTTTTCAGCTTCTGTTGGTCATAAACAGAGGCTGATTAATCTCACTAGGTTAATTCTAAAGAACAAGAATTTACACATTTTTCCTTTACTATGTTGAAAATCCTTCAATCAGACTATGGATAATAATCAACATATTTCAGCAAGGTCCGAGTTAGTGTATTTAGGTGGATTAGTAATAACCATACTCAAAGAGCCACTCTGATTCCTGAAATGACTTCAACTGGGCGAGAGAGCAAAAACCTTAGGTGACCAAATCAGAATCCAAAAAATAACAGGCTGGAAGGATACGAATGTAATAAAGATAACGTTTAACATGAAAAAATGTGAAGTCCTGGACTTGGTCCAAAACAACAACCTCTCAAATACAGATCAGGGAGACATTACACACCTGTGAGCTCAATGTAAGGTTAAAATACTATGGCTCCATCCATAGTATTTTGGATGTGAAAGAAAGAAAACTCTATTCTTCTCTGCTCTGTGCCGATCAGAGCATACCTAGAATATTGTATTCACTTTTCAGCTTTAAAGAGAGATATTGACAGCTAGCATGGGTCCACAGGGGTGTGAGGGTCACGGAGTCCTGCCCCAGGACCAGACAATCAGCCAGAGAAATTGGTAACATTCAGATGGAGAAAGAGAAAACACAGAAGGAGCCCAATAGCTATTTCCAAATACGCGAAGCACTGTCATGGGAGAAATGCATTAGAGCTGGACTGGGTGACTGTAGAGATGAGAGATTGGACCAATAAATGGAAAATGCAGAGGGACATAATTTCAGCATAACTTAAAGTAGAACTTCCTATACTTTGCTTCCCACTAACAATGAAAAGCTGCCTCAGGAAGCAGAGTGTTCAGTACTGGAGGTGTTCAGAAAGAAGACATCTGATCACCAGCTGGGGTTTCTGCAGAGGGGAATTTAGTCTCTGGATGGAAGTGGGTGGAATAGGTAATATTGAAGGTCTTTCCCAGTCCCTGAAATTCTGTGAGTCCATGAATGGTCATTGTCTTGGAAAAATATTCAGTGTTAACTACCTTACTTCTTTGGGAAAAAGAAGAAATAACACCATTCAAAGTTTAATACATTTATTTTGCTCCATTTCAGCATAATAAATAAAATGAGAACTTACAATTTTCAGAGTTATGCTGCTTGTCAGTGAATATGTTTTTCTCTTAAAATTGTCCGTCATCTGTTACTCTCAGACAGCAGGAAATTTGAAACGACTTGGGGTACATTTTCAAAAGCACAAAGTTGAGAATAAGCAGTCATAAACATAAGCAAACTTGTATTAACCATACTTATTTTTTTAAACCAGAGCCTAAAAACCTTAAGAAGTTTTTGTTCATAAAGCAGAGAAAACACAGCTGGCATTGTGGCATCAGGTCAGGGTATCAGCCATTTGGTGGCACTGTTGAAAATGCAATTCATTAGTTGATAATGCAGTTTGGTGAATAATACCCAGCAAGTTTATAGAATGTTACGGTTTAAAATATGTTTTCATACACTTTGGATCAGAGCTCTGTATTGAATATCTGATGTTCTTATTAAAAGAATAAGCTTTTGGATTTGAGTATCTAAATCGTGGACATCTTTGCTAGGAAACACACTACTGGTCTATTAATTTGGATGCTTAATGGAAGAATGTGTCTTTGTATTCTGAAATTTAAAATACCACATGACAAGGCAGCACCTGCCACCCCAAACCACAATGTGTCTACATTATTAAACACCATTTGTGATGCTGCTGGAAGAAGTTCAAGGACCAGAAAGCCCAGAAGAGAAGGTCTACATTTTAGACATTTACTTAGTGCTTTTCTGCTTGGGAACACCATTATGTCTACAGCAAAAACAATGACACAAGGGATAAAGGATCTCACTGTTCTGGAAAACACATACCTTCTCCTCGAATGGGGTTATGTTAATGTTTATTTTCTCCAGTCATCGACATAATAAATCTGCCTTGTTTCAGCCTCATACTGTAGTATTATAAATACAAGGTTTTCACAAACAGATATCCAGCCATTAAAGTCAGCAGAGCGTGGCCTAGAAGCTCATATGTTTACAGTCCCTTTTACAGGGGGGTTATGAATACATAGTTAGTGTCACACTAGGAAAACCTCTGTTTTGACATTCTGATCTGAGATCTGAATCCCTCTTTCTAGCCTGCCCTATGACAAATGTGTGCTGCTGGTCACAAAAGGTGGCTGGGTGAGAGAAGATGGAAAAATAGCTCGAGTCATCAGGCTTATTGAGGGGGGATTTTTATGATATTGGAAAATAATGGGCACATCACACGAACTGTGTGGCAATCAGGTATACAAGAATAATCACACAACTTCTAGAATGTTCTATAGGAAAGCAGATGCATTGTAATTTTTACTTTAACTTTCATCCCCATGGTGTCAACTGTCAGCTTGGATCGGTCCGCCAGTGGGACATGTTAGTCACACCCAGGTGCTTGAGTCAAATGGCCCTGCAGTGATGTAGGTAGCACTTCCCCAACTGTATTAATCTCTTTAATGAAAACTAAAATCTTTGCATGTCCTATGAAGGATACTCTTGGGCACAATGAAATCATACAAAATCTCTCTTCCCTCCCACTTTGCGCACAGTTAAGGCTGGATGGAGTGGGGAGGAGGTTGAAGGGAAACAGGTAAGCAGAGGAAAAATAGGTCAAGGCTGCTTCTCGCCACCTCTTCATTGTTAACTCAACTACAGATGCTCTTTCCCTTCTCTCTGCTCCACAGACAGCCGGCACCTGAGCCCATGCTGCCCCTCACCGCTTCCCGTCAGGCCAACCACGTGGATTAACCCAGGGAAACAGAAGGAAGATCCTTTAGGACACGCTGTGTTCACTATTTAGAAATAGCATGGAAATGTGCAAATTGTTTTCTCAAGCACTAGATGCAGAGCTGGAAAAATTCATTGTTAAAGTACTGCCCGGCAGCCAGTCATGACATTAAATATTTGGTATTGTTTTGTCCCCTGAGCTCTCTAATACAGTTGTTACCCTGTTTGCTCTCGTGGGTCTTGGGTCAAAATTCGTGAGTAATAATGAGGACATCACCAGGCCTAGGCTTTTATTATGGTCTTTACCTCAGACGTAGTATGTAACATTTAACAAACCGGTAACTTGCTTAGTGCTTGTGTCTTTACCTCAAAGTGGAATTAACAAACCCACTCTTTAACCTTTCTCCTGAAGTTGGGGTAAGGCTGAATATTTGTTTCTTAGGATGTTTTATAAAAACAACCTGAAGAGAAGAGAAATTTTGCTGTATAGTAAGACTAAAATAAAATGGTGGATAGACCAGAATGGTGCCACTTTAAGGCCTGTTTGCTGATAGACTGTGGAAGAGTGAAGTGAGATGCCTAAAATCTGTGAAACCCAAACAGTGGGCTGAAGGATGCTAATTTTGAGAGAAAAGGAATAAGAAGGCATGGAACATTCAAGTTTAGAATAATTAGCCTGATCGTGTTACCACAACCTATTATTAGTAAAAGGGAGGGAGGAAGGGAAATGTGGCCCTAATGGAATATTCCAAGGACCTCTATTTCCAAGCGTTAGGGACCAAATCCTCCCTGGTAGTGGGCGAAGCTATCTCCTGAGGTTCCTGGCTGTGCGTAGCAATGGAGACACGGGCAGTCTGACCGAGTATTTTATTCTCTGTTTCTGTCCCCTCACAGAGCTCTCAGCATGGCGGCTCCTCTACCTCACTTGCGTCCACCAAAGTCTGCAGCTCGATGGACGAGAACGACGGCCCTGGAGAAGGTGATGAGCTTGGGACTTGGTATCTGAGGAGGCAGAGAATGGGTTGGCTAAATTTGCTCCAAAAAACTATAACTTCTCAAGCAGAATGCCTTGGACAAGCCTGAACAGCTCTTGAGGGTTGATTGCAAGAGGATAGGGTTGCATGTGGCTCCCTCCAGAGACTGGTGTCCACTCGGTGGGAATGAGAAGAGAGAGTTGGCCCAATCTGGAGATGTCTCACATCCTTCTCAGGAGACGTCTAAGTATCCTAAAAAGGCCAGCTATTGCCTGCCTTGGAAGTGAGAGCGGATAATTGCTGCCTTTGTTTTCCCAAACAATGTTCACTTTTAGTATATTAATTTACTGTCTTGACTGTTACAGTCCCACAAATGTATTCTAACTTAAGTGTACTCAATATAGGAAAATATGACTTTATAAAAAGGGTTAATTGGTGGCAATTTCAAAAATATCCTTGAGATCGTTGACTTCAGTGTTGTGGTCAAATGACCTGGATTCCAGAACTGGCTTTTCAGTAACTCACTGGATTGTTTTGGACAAGGCTCTTCAACTCTCCACATCTTAGTTCCTCTTCCATAAAACGTAGATTGTAATATGTAATTATTCCTCCCTGGGGGTTGTTATCAGGCTCAAATCAATTATGGGAAAGTATTTGGAAAAGTACAAAAGTGATATGATCAAGCTACAGTGAAAAGAATCAGCTCCTCTTAATTGTCTTAAATGATATGATTTAATTTTTTCCCCAAAAACTACCCTTTGGGGAAAGCACTTTTACTATGTTGAGATGTGATTTACGTAATAATTATTTCCTGACTACCAAGCAATATTATCATGCAATATCAGAGTTTTTACATTTCCAGAAGTATGAAATTCAGCCACCTAGAAGTCTGTTTTGTTCCAATGTGTTGTGTATTCTCCTAATGAAATGAAATGATTCTTGACCTAAGCCTTTGGCTTAGTCTTCTTAGCCAGAAGCCTCAAAAAGGTACCTTTTATCAGCTGCTAAGGAAAAAATCTCAAGCCACGTGCTTTGGGTGGGTGTCTCAGCAAATGCTCCCACTGGAAGGCGGGAAGGATTGAAGTATTCCTTGCATTTCCCATCTGCAGGGTCACACTTGCCTGGGACAGCCAGGGATATTAACTTTTATTACCTATGTAGCGAAGAGCCTTAAGATTGTGTCATCTGGGAGATGTTTTGTAAATGTGGGTGCTTTGCAGTAGACAAAAATCCCCCGGCTGAGTCCTGCAAACAGAGACAAGATCGTGGCTTCTTTGGGAGTGACATGGGGAGGGGGGTTGGCCCAGGCCATCGCTTTATTCTGGAGGCCACCTAGATAGCTGCTAGTAGGGTAAGAGTGAAATGTCACCTATAAGGAGGTGAAGAAGCCACACAAATGCCAAGGACAAAAGTAGTGGCAGCGAGTGTGCTATCTCTGTTCAACACTTTCCAGAAATTCCATCCACTCTAGAATCCAGAGAGATGCAGACCCAGCATCATCACAAAGCAAGGATGAAGGCTGTAATGCAAGTATCCAACAATTGCAAGTCTCCGTTTGTCCTTCTCCAACACTACAGAGTCAATGTGAATACAAAAATCACCAAGAAAGCCCATTCGCCACCTAAGGTTTTAATTTTATTTTGAGGAGAAATGTTTAGGCTTGGTTTATGATGAAAGGTCAAAAGAGGAGCACATTTAGAAAACACACGAGGCTTCCATCACATTTTGTATTCAAGTTGCCTGAGGGAGAGCTAGGATTTATAACCTTAAAGCATGTACATTTTAGAGCCCCACTATAAAAGGCTTTTTACACCCCTAAGATGTTAAAGGTTATCCAGCATATTTATGTGACTTAAGTGTGGCTTATTTAGTTTTACGGCCTCAGATATTTAAAGCATTATTAGGCATTTGTAAAATATTTCAAAATGCATTTTCAGGGGGAAAATGCGTTGTGTTAGTGGCACTAACATAATTGAAACTACAAAACTGTTCCGTTCGCAGACATAATAGATATTATAATTTTAACTCGACATCTGCTACGCAGGTTGCTGGTGAGAACATTTGTCTGAAATCTGCTCACTGAGACCGGGGAGGGGTGGCCATCAGTGCTTGGTTCATAAGGAATTTTACGGAGATCTCCATTTCAGGATGTAGTAAAGCTAAGTGTCCAAACAGCAGGCGTTTTTCATGCTTGTACAATGCCAAACAGCGCAGAGTCCCTTGCGAACTGCATTTTCCTCCCGCGCCATACGTAGGAATGTCGTTTCTCTGTACACAGTGGGTACTCAGTAAATGCTAATGATCAAGTTGCATGAAGTGGAAAGAGCAAAACTTCCTCCTCACTTCCTTCCTTCCCCGCTGCAGCAGAAAACCTAAGTTGCTCTTGCATAGGTGGGGGTAGAGGCCCATACATTTCCTTTGAGTTTATCATTTGTCTTAGTAAAAACTGTTGAGTATATACAGTTTCATCGAGGAGGGTGACGGTTGCCTCACTGTACAGAAAAATGATAGATTGATTCTGAATCAGTTCTAGTCTGTTAGATGATACTTCTAAATGTTTCCTAGTGCAACATCTGTGTTCCCTTTTCTACCAATAAAAAAGTATTAATGATTCTTTCAGAAGTGTCGGAAGAAGGCTTCCAGATTCCAGCCACAATAACGGAGCGATATAAAGTCGGAAGAACAATAGGAGACGGAAACTTTGCTGTTGTCAAGGAATGTGTAGAAAGGTGAGAAGGGTGTCATTTGCATTGAGCTCTAAAGGTAACATTTGGCGTTACGTTTTCCAGGATTGTGTCTCTATTTGCAGTCCGTGACATGTACAGAATAATTTATTGTCTCAACTCCAGACACAAAAAAATTTTTTTAAAAAAGAAAAGCCCGTCTAACAGATTTGAAAAATGTAGTGATTCCTGAAGACAATCTATAAATTAAGGACTTTGATTTTTTTTTTTTTTAATGTACTCAGCAAAACTTTGCCAGTTATTTCAGGTAAGTCTTTTTATTTTGTTAAAAAAAAAAAAAAAAGAAACATATCGAGTAGTTTCTCCCTACATACTTTTTGTGACATGTTTTGTAGAGGTCAGACCATTCTTGTATAGAGTTTATGTCTGCAAAGTGTACTATCGTAAATTAAATGCGTGCAATAACCTTGAAGAGCTTTAAAATGCATATATACTGCCCCCAACAAACGTAGTATTTAATACATTAAAATGTATTAAAATGAATGAGCCAGGTATTCTGTGTGCCAATGGGAAGGGTTTAATCCCTGGGTTCTTGATACCTAATCGAGGATAGTAGCTGGTGGCTACGAGATGGAGAAGTGACAACTAATAAAGTGGCACCCAGACTAAGGCAGCCTCAAACCCGGATTTCTTTTCCCGGGCAGTTGCTTGCTTTAGTGGGCCTGGTCAGCCAGCGGGTGGGCAGGATATTCTCAGAGCTGGGTGGGCAGGATATTGAAAGGTCAGGGGGAACTTGCCTCGTTCCTTGACAGACTGTGTCCTCTGGCTTTCTGGGGGCAGGCGTGAGGTGCATGCACTTCCCTATTGCTTTTTTCTGCCCGCGATGGGGCTATACACCCTATCAGCTCCTCACCACTCTGTGAGAATCACGCTCTACCCTCCACTCAGAGCAGATGAGTGGGTCTAGAAGGCAGACAAGAAGGCTTTAGCCTGGAAGATGCAGGACTTGTTTTCTTCCAAGGGCTCTGATGTAGAAGCACGGATTCTTGCCATATTAGAGCTGGACGTCCACACAGGGCCTCTGATACCATGAGGGCTCTTAGTTTGGCCAATATCCATTCATGTGCTCCCTGCACCGCTTGCCACTTTTTAGAAGATGCTTCCCCAGCTAAGATCACAGAGACTTTGGTTAAGCTACCCCTGGGCAGGGAAGCTCACACTTTGCCCCACCCCACCATGTCAGCGAGGCTGGAATACTCCCAAGAGTGACGGAGACCCACTGGGGCGTGAGTAATAGGTAGCTGGAAGAATCCCTCAGTCGATGCTGCCATGGCACCTTTCTCCTCTCTTCCTCTCATTCCTCCACCATGGAGCTGGACCATTGGTGCACGGGTGCCACACATAGACAATGTCCCATCACATTCCTGGGCCTCACACTTTCCAGAACAGAAGCAACCATGAGTTACTGAGCATAGACTATCTACAAAGCCCTTAACCTATGACATTTCATTTAGTTAATATAATAACTCCACAATGTCAGTATTGTCTCCATTTTATAGATAGAAAGCCTGGAGAAGTTAAATGCCCAAGTTTGCTCAGCTAATAAGTACTTAGCAAGACATAGATCCGAGCCCAGCTCCAGAACCCACACTTTTAACCACTCTACTCCACGGCCTCTACTAAGGTGTCTGTAGGAAGACTCTGGCTTAGCTAAGCCATAAGTCACACTCATCGCATTTGGCCTTATATAAATAAGACAGAAATTAAATTGGAAAAGCTATTCCTGAGGTAATGGATTGAGGTGTGCATGCAAGTATGTCTGTGTTTATATAATTTTTTTATTTCATTGATACTTTTAGCAATAGTAAATCCAACTCATTTTAACTTTATTTCCACTGTAGGAGAAAACCCCATTTTTAGCAGATTGCCCTGCCCTCACACTGTGGGGTGTCTGGTTATATGCCAGTGTTCGTCATCTGTTAGGTCTGACGTGGTGGCCATGTGCCGTTTCTCCCAGCTAGAGCATGGATGGGGCGGCGTCTCAGTCCAACAGTATTGGTCTTCTCACAACAGGAATTTCCCATTTCCCCATCCAGAATTAATTTGTTTCTTTCTAACTTGGATTGCATTCGTTTTGCACGAGTTCACATCTCGGGGTCTCACCGTATGAAACTTCAGAGCCGAAACACCAGATTGCCCCATGAAGTGTTCGTGTTCAGCTCCTGCTGAAAAAGGACATATGGCATGTGCCCTCTCTCCCCAGAGATATCACAAAACATTCTTTTAATATTTTCCAGAGGTCCGAGAAAATAGAAGCAAGCTAGGAATGTTACGAATGGCACACATTGCTCGCGGGGACACTGCCTTATTCTGAGGGGTGAATGTGTATGAACAAGGGCAAGTATGTTCCTCCCCTGTTAATAATGTGCTGTCACAGGCAAGATTTTTCTACAGCAATGGACACAATAACAATGTCTTTCTGTGGTCCTGTGCCAGCATATTCTTTAGCTGGTAGATCCACTTAGATTTCTGTCTGTGCTCCAGGAGCAACTTCTTGGGGGGCCTCAGGGTCCCCTAGGATGCACTAAAGGAAGTAAATGGACTTTGACTGCAGCTGGGACAGAAGTGCCCTGTTTTGAAGCTGTTTTGTGGAGCATTTTGAGGCCCCAAAGCAAACTGAAAACACTGAAAAGTGCTAATGAGAGGCCAGAGCACAAGTAGAGAGCTTGATATGAGGTGCTCTAACCTTCCTGGCTCTGTGTGGGCCAGTTACCAAGGGTACGAGTGACGCGGTTATGAGCAGGGCTGGTGTCCCAGATGGCCCCTGGCCTTCCTCCCGCCTGCACCGCTTGCATGTTTTAGTAATGTAGCAGCTTAGCTGTCGCCCCTCGTCTACCTATAAGCCAGAAGAATTGCATAACACAACTGCTGGCTCTAGGCATGAACATAAACATGTCAAACCCACCGGAACAAGCTAAGATGTTAGTGTCTCCAAAATGGGTTGCTTCCACCTAGGAAATCCTCAAAATTCTCAATAACCTTAAGGACCATGTACCTGCAGTTCATAGGCCTTTCCTTTGGAACTGGGAGTTGGAGGACAAGTCAGTGCGAAGACACCTAGACATCTCTTGGCTACCTGATTGCTGTTCTTCCGTCTTTCCTTCCTGAGGCTCCCCCGGCACCTGACAGCCATGGGGCCCTTGCTCAAATTCAAAATAAAATGTCGCTTCGGAGATGTTGGACAAGACACTCTGGGATGTCTCAATCCTCTGCTCTTGCCAGTTACCTCCTTATGGAAGAGGCTGAGATTGGGTTTTATTAGGATTAGCTGGTAAACAAAGGGCACGGTTCACTCACCCCTCTTTATTGGGGGGGGTATTCCTGTCGTTGCACTAACTGCCACCATGCTCTGCAGCTTCCACAACTGACCAGCGAGTGTGGGGCACCTGCCGGCTCAGGCCCCTGCTGGGCAGTTCTGGTGCAACAAAGAGAGAGAAGACACAGCCCCCGTCCGTAGACCCTTATCCACAAACAAGGGGTGCCAGGAAATTCAGTGGATGCTATGGTAGAGGAATGCTTGAGAGCTGTTTTTCCTTCGCATACTCTTTTTAAAAACCTTCAAAACATAGCAAACAGCAACAAGAAAACCCACATTGGCCCAGAGCATCCCAATCTTGCCAGCCATTCCCCCTTGATAATCATTCTATGCTCCCTGGGGGAGGGGTGCCATGGGCCGAAACTCGGCTGGGGTTGAGAATCACTAAGTTAAACAAGACAGCTTTCTCCAAATCACTTTTAGCACAAACATAAAAAGTTAGATTCAATTCAGTTTTGTAAAATTTGGAAATTTCTCTCTAGTAGTTTGGGCTGTAACCCTAACTTAATAGGATGGTGACCTTACAAACTGATTTCCCGTGGACAAGGAGGAAGACAAAGTTTTCCGTCGCTGCTTTTGTTGTGGCATAGAGGGTTTCCTAAAAGGCCAAGAATATAATTCCAGGAACGAACAAGCAAATGGCCTGTATTTTCACCAGAAATCCAGCTGTCTAATGTCTCAATGCACCACACTGTAAACTTATTGAACAGCAGGTCGCATTCACCTCGGAATCCACCAAAGAACCCCGCTTGTCACTGCTCAGTGAATAATTACACAGGCACGGCTGTCCTCAAAGTTCAAGGTATGCAGGAAGGCAAATACCTTAATTAAGGTTTTATTTCCTGCCAAGTGTTTTCACTTAAAGCAAGCACTTACACTTTTATTCCATGTATGCATTTAGTTCCGACACCTGTTTCCAGGCTCATTTGCCAGACGAGCTACTTTCCTGTAAACATGTGCTTCTAGTAATTAAGGATTTTATGATGTGACTAGTTCGGCCCTCGAGGACTCAAGGAAGAAGTTGCAATATTAATTTTGCTGGTCCTCTGTGGGGTCCATTGTCCAATATAAAATGTGGGTAAATGTAATGGAACATTCAATCCTATTACAAAAGGCTCTGTGTGGGAAACCCACATGGTCCTTCTTCCTAGTGTGCCCCAGGGCCACGCAGGCCAGGTCTGCTCCCCGCTGCCCCTCAGCTGTAGGCTCAGGACAGACGCTGCCAGCTTGGCCCCCTGGGAGCGAACACACCCGCTCAGTCACTCACTGCCGATTCTGTTCCTTGTGCGTCTGGCTGTAGAAAAGGTTCTACACCCTCTCTGTGCCCTACGCCAGCCCTTTTCCTCGAGTGCTTTCACGTTACTCGTTCAAGGGAGGCGAGAATGAAACATCAAGCATGGAGAATCACAGGGCTAAGAAAGCCCCTCTCTTCTGACCAGCGCAGGCCTGTCCATCCAGCCCCCTTTGTGGAGGCGATGAAGGGAACACGTGTTTTCATTTTTGAGCCTCCCAAACCTCCAGCCTCGCTCTCCATCCCTGCCTGGGATTGCTGGTGGATGTCGAAGCCGTCAGGGCCACAGTCTAGATTCCCAGGCCATCGAATGAAGCGTGTTCAAGCAGATAGGAAATTGCTCGTGTATCCCAATCTCAGATGTCCTTTATCATAATTTTTTAGTGATTTATGAAAAGCAGAATCCAGAAACACCTGAGCTTTTAGTTTTCCTCTTGATTAAGTATTTTCAAATTTGCAAACAAACTCTTCAAGAGGCCTCTTAAGAAGAGGCTACTCAAAGGGACCCTGTGGTCTTATGTCTATAGTGTGAGGAATCCCTTTGTATGTAACTCCACTTTCTCATTTATGTTTGCACACACATTTTTAATTTTTAATTTTACCTCCTACTGCCGTGCTTTCGCTCCACCCCTGCCCCGTGACCTTGCTGGTGGGCTGGTGTTTGTGTGGGAACATCAGCACACCAAGCCTGCATTCAGCCAGGGCCCGCTCACTCCTCCTCCCTCACGGCCTCTCTGCCCAGCTGCGTCATGGTCTCTGTCGAAGAATCAACAAAGGCAGAGTGGCAGTGGCGTCCCTGGGCTCCCCAGTCCATTTCCTCATGGAGTTAAGGCAATGTGGATTTCTCTAGACATCCCCATCTCTGCAGGAGGGCCCGCCTGAAGCAAAGGGTTATACCTTCTCCCATCCGAACCCCAAAGCCCTCTATTGGAGAAGAGGCTTCAAAGTGATTCTCTTATCCTGGTGTTATTCACCAGATATAATCATAACAATTCAATGTTTTTGAGTGTATTTTGCAGGAGCCTGGAAGTGTAATGGGAGAAGCATTTTAGAAGTAAATGAATGAACAGTTTCTAAAATGCCTTTGAAACAGATTTTTAATACCTGGCCTCTTGATTTACTTATAGGAAAATCATTTTCTTGCTCCAACCACATAACTAGGAGATCCCATTTAATTCATCATACTGAAGATTTTAAAACTCTATTTTAATTTTTTTTTTGAGGCAAGAACTCACTCTGTTGCCCAGCCTAGAGTGCAGTGGCGTCATCATAGCTCACTGCAACCTCAAACTCCTGGGCTCAAGTGATCCTCCTGCCTCAGCCTCTTGAGTTGCTATTTGTGTGTGTGTGTGT